TGGAGGCTCTTTAGCGACTGGTGCGGTTTTCGTTCCTGGGATCCCAGGCGTTGCCCGTTGGAGGGGGACCTGGGATTCCTACAGGAGCTCTTTGACAAGGGGAGGGCTGTCGCCACCTTGGCGGTGTTCGCGGCAGCCATTACTTCGGGTCACGACGGATTCGGGGGGTTCACAGCCCGCTCTCATCCGTTGGTTAACGTTTTCTGCGGGGGGCACGTAGGAGGAGGCCCCCGCTCCAGAGAACGCCCCGGTTTGGGACCTCAGGGTGGTCCTTAGGGGGCTGTCGGGTCCGCCTTTTGAACCGGCGGCGGAGGCGAGTCCCGAGTGTGTCGCTTTAAGACGGCCCTCTTGTTGGCGTTGGCGTTGGCGTCTGCTAAGAGGGCGGGCGACTTGTGTGCGCTCTCTGTCCATGCGTCTTGCCTGTTCTTGGAGAGGGCGACGGCATGGTGGTATTGTGGCCCAATCCGGCTTTTCTCCCCAAGGTCATCACGTCGGCCTTTAGGTCGAGAGTCATCAGGATTAGGGCTTTCTATCCGCCACCGCATGCCTCCCCCGAGGAGGAGCGGCGGCACCTTCTGTGTCCTGTCAGAATGCTGAGGCATTACCTGGCCATGACATCGTCATTCAGGTTGGGTGGCCAGCTGTTTGTGTGTCTGGGCCCCAAGAACAGGGGCGCCCCGCTGTCGGCTCAGCGGCTGGCGCACTGGGTTGCCACGGCTGTGCGGCGGGCGTATCAGATGCAGGGTCTGGCCCTCCCGGTGGGCTTCAGGTCGCATTCCACGCGTGGGATGGCGGCCTCTACGGCCCTTCTCAGGGGGGTGTTGGTCGAGGACGTATGCCGTGCGGCTTCTTGGGCTTCGTCCTCCTCTTTCGTCCGGTCTTATCTTTTGGATGTGTCGGACCGGTCGGTGGCCCATTCCGTGCTGAGTGCAGCGGACTGAGTTAGACCGTTAGGTCCCTCCTCTGAGGGGGCCTTCGGTTTACTTTCCGCCCTGGTTCAGGAGCTCTTGGGAGAGGCATCCTACAGGTGCGGTACATATATGTGTGTTTTGGTCGGTCTGGTAGTCCACGTCAGGAGCCCTTGGGAGAGGCGTCCTGTGACTACGGATGACCTATATCTGTGTTACGTGGGGGTATCCTTGGTAGGAGTGGCCCTGTAACACGCATTGTTTCTTCTGCCCTGAGTCCTCTCACTGTGTGAGGGTCTTGCTCGGGCGGAGCTCCAATCACCCTTCGCTGGCCTGCTGGGAGTACATGTTCCTACGGCCTCCGCGTTGTGTCCCACTAGCGAAGTCCTAAGGGACCATGACGTAGAATTAATAGTTACCTAATGTAACTTAAGTTCTACGAATAGGTGCGTAGTCCCTTAGCTACGAGCCCATCAGGCCAGCCCGGCTTGGCAGAGTTCAAGAGGGGGTGCGGCCTTGTGCAGGGGCATTTATAGAGGAGGGTGGCTGGTGATTGGAGCAAATTATTTTGATCTCTCTGGCGTGTGACCTGGGGGTCACGAGTGATATCCCACTAGCGAAGTCCTAAGGGACTACGCACCTATTCGTTACATTAGGTAACTATTAATTATCGTTTATTGCCCAGAGTCAGAACTAAACATGATATAGCTGCATTTCAGATTCACAAGGCTAAAATCTGGAACGGTCTTCCTGGAAATGTGAGACAGGCTTCTTCTTTGACAATGTTAAAATCCAGGTTTAAAACACTTCTGTTTCTGCTTCAACTGAGAGATTTTATGAGATTTTATTTGTATCTTTTTAATTTACTGTCAATATTTATAATTGTAATGCCTTGTTTGATTGTTTCTATCTTTTGTTCAGTGCTTTGAGTTTCCTTTTGTTTTGACTGTGCTATACAAATAAACTTGCCTTGCCTATTGCAAAAAGTATGTCTCGACCAGTGAGTGATTCTGCAGAGGTTAAGTAGGTCAATAGGACTGTAAATGGACGTCATATAAACGTCAATATTTTGGTCATATAAGACGTCGAGAGGACGTCGGACCCGACCGGTTCTGTACCACATTGCAACCTTGAATGAACGTCCAGATAACGTCCAGATGACGTTGAAATGACATAGTTTTGACATCTGCTTGCCTAGTTGGAACAACGGAAAACGAAAGTCATATGAAGGCAATATTTTGGTCATATAAGACGTTGATAGGACGTCGGACCCGACCGGTTCTGTACCACATTGCAACCTTGAATGAACGTCCAGATGACGTTGAAATTACGTTGTTTTGACATCTGCTTGCTTAGTGGGAACAACTGAAAACGAACGTCATATAAACGTCAATATTTTGGTCATATAAGACGTTGATAGGACGTCAGACCCGACCGGTTCCGTACCACATTCAAACCTTGAATTGACGTGCCATCAACGTAACATTTGGAGGTTGAGGTGACGTCGGGAAACGACGTCGAGAAAACTTTCATTCTGCACCCACCAGTGACCTATATTCTACGTCGGACAACGACGTTCAAATTACGTTGATTCAACGTCGGCTTGCTTAGTGGGTAGTAACAAAAACACCAAAAGCTGAAGAAAACATAAAATTGGCCATATCAGATCACTCCAATATTTTGTCCAAAACCGCTGTTGATCGTAATATCTTCTTGTAGGTCAGAAGTGTCTTTATGAAGCTTACCACATGTTTTCAGGATGCGTATATCAAATTTAAGCCAGTCGTCTCCGGGAAGCTCCTTTTTCCTGCATGCCCTATCGATGCGAGCATCATTTTGAAAAGGTGGCCAAAAGCACATGCCATCTTCAACCCACACCGATGGGGCAATAGAGAGAAGCTTGTTCTCAACAAATTCAATTAAATGATACATCACAAGACTGAAACAGAAAACATAACAATTACACGTCTATCTATATGCAAAATCATAAAGCATTTATTTACTCACACTATTTACAACTTTGGATTTTTTTGACTAAGTAGTGAGGTAGTTTCCCCAGTCCCCCAAATCACACACAAACATTTAAAGCCGCTCACAACAGGTTCCATAATCTTGAATCTAGCAACTATCAACCAAGGAGTCAATCTCTGTTTTCACTTTCCGATTTCGAGGATAAAAAGCATCTGATTTGAAGTTATTAGGGACAAAGACAATATCAACATAAAAACATCTCGCCCCATGCACCCACCCCCCTCATACGCTATGTTTATAAGGTATGGCACAAGGGGAAAGCCACAAAATGATCCTTGTGGGGCAAAAGAACTACCTTATGGGTGAGCTCTTCTACTCGTGCGCACTTTACCAATTGCGATAGGTTAGATACTTTAAATATCTGCAAGAAGTCTGATTCAAAGGGATATGTAAAAAATGATGATTTTTGGGAATATTCTCTGTACATTACAAACAAACCCTCATCACACTTTACAATGTTACAGATTTCACAAACATTTTCTCCAATTGCAAACACATTTATCACCCAAAGAAATTTTCAACGTCCACTCCTCAGAAACCATTTCTCTGTACTGTTTATGCACATTAGAAATGTTTACCACAGGTCCAGCAAGATGTTCCTTTTTCAAAGTTATTTTTTCTTTTTTTTCCTCAGTAACATCCATCTCTGATAAACGCCGAATGATTTGAGCAACTGGACAGTGGGGCTCTCGCAGCATTTTTTTCAATTTGTAAAGGTAGCTTTCGTAAGGAAATGAAGAAAATGAATCAAGAGCGCCATGTTTTTGAACATCATTAGGAAGATGTACTAACGAATGAATATTGTACACAAGTAGATCATTCCCATAAATGCGACCAAAGTACTGAACGAAAGATTTCAACAGAGTTTGGGCATAAATGGCATGACAAGAAAATTTTGGATTCACCAAAATAGCTATGCCACAAAAAAAAGCAACAAATTATCATACATTGCTCTGTCCAAAAATGAGGAAAGCATGACAGGACCTGTGTAAAGAAGAAATAATCTGAATTCAGTAGCTTTCCATCTGTCTACGTCCTGAAGAGAACGCGGTTTTCTTGAGAATTCCACTGGAATGTAGGGCCGCATATCAATTAATTTTTGGGACATTATCTCAACAATATTGGCAGGGATTCGAAAGTTCAATGAACCTCGTAACCAAATGCATAATAATCTCCTCATCACTCCCAAACACACCAGATGCATATAATCAAGAGGGAATCCAGTAACCATACCAATTTGGCAGCCTAGAAATGGGTTTGGCCCTTGACGGTGATGTATATCATCAACCATATCTTCAAATGAAGCATCCGTTCTTAATGGAGAGTCAGTGTTTTCAAATGTCATCCGATTATTTACATATTTTCCAGGTTCAACACATTTGTCACAGCCATGATAGGCATTATGACCTTTAGTATTCTTTACAAATGATCGTGCAGGGGTGTCGCAAATCACTGCATCCAGCTTTAGTTTTAATGTCTTGTCTCCAAACTCAAAGCCATTCTCCAGGTATTTTAATTGTGTGACAAAATCCAAGAGATATTCATGAGGGGAGTTTGGTTTCTTGGGACCAGAAAACAGGGCCACAACTGCTGGTTCTTTCATAGGCACAGAAACAAGAAGAGCCAGAATAGGCCACATTTGTATGCTAGAGCTTTTAAAAAGGGGAAGGCCGTCAACGTTAATGTGGAATTTTAGAGTATAGTGTTGTTTGCCAAAGAGTTTATGCATTTGGAAAGAGTGTTTGTAAGAGAGTTTAATATACCAAAATAGTGGTATTGTCCACCAGCCTTGTCTACAACAACATAGTCTGTTCTTGTTTTCAAAATGGTCCGGGCATCTTTAGGTAGGCCAGAATGATACACTCTGAGAATGGCCAATAGTGCTGTCAAAGCAACCAGGGAAATTTTGAAATGTATTGCCCAGTTTGTAACCCTATCCAGAAGGGAATCTTGGATATTTTCATTCTCTGATTCTGACTCAAAACTATAATTTGCTTCAACATAAAAATCATCACTATCATCAACAACATCATCCATCTCTCCTGGAGCCAAGTCCCCCACCTCTCCTGGGGCCAAGTCCCCCACCTCTCCTGGGGCCAAGTCCCGCACCTCTCCAGGGGCCAAGTCCCCCATGTCTCCCGAGGCCAAATCCCTTTTTTGTCCTCTGTCCATGTCTCTGATCTGTCCTGAAGCCATTTCTCCAACTCCAGAGTAAAGGCCTGCCTGTTCCCTTTCCTGGTTTTGATCAGCAATATCCTGAAGTCTCCTTGCTACATTTATCAGGGCCCTCCGTCTTAACGCCGACTTGGAAACTGGCATTGTCTTTCTATTCATCTTCTGAAAATGATTAGAGCATAAGTTAGGGCATTGGTTACTCGATAAACTATAAAGAGGATATCTTCCCAGGGATTTTCAAAATAATAATATTATACAATATTATTTTATTGTTTTCAATATGACACCATAGTTGCAATACTGTAACTTTATAGCACTTTAATAAAACCAAAGAGTATTATTTTCTAAACTGACATTGAATATATTAATTAAAATATATATTAGACATTTAATATATATTGATTTTAGTGAAAGGTTAGCTTCCTTTGCTCAGTTTTCATTTCTCAGCTCTAACCAGCATTCAGGATTTTCTTGCTGAGAATTTTTGAACTGTTGTCAGTCTTAGAATTTGACCTATAAATGTACATGAGATCTGGAGGATTCTACATGTCAATGCGCAATCTTGAAATACATTAGTATGGTTAATGGTTGATAAGGGAAAAAGGAATTGCATTTTAGTCTCACAGGTGCCACTAATATTGTCCCTTCCATCGTGCCCTGTCAAGTTTGAAAAAGGGATCATTGGGGACCAGTTATAAAAGAACTTCCCGAACAAGAATATTTTAGAAAAAGAATTGTCCAAATATGTAGAAACCTGCATCATAACAACAAGACAGAGTATAGAGGTGACTCCTCTTTTCTCACATTGTAATGGAGCTAACAGCACACAATGCTGGCCAGTTAATGCTCTTAATGATATTCCCACCTGATAAATCACTGGCACACAAATACACTGCACTAGTAAACATTCACAATGGCATAGCAATCACAGAACCCAGTTTTCAAGTTAGTCAGTTAATGAGCACACCTCTTAGATGATATGAACACCTAGTGACATGACTGACCCCTGCTGGACAAAGCTAATACAAACAACATTGAAGTTACTTAGAGTTTATGGATAGGATCTCACAAGTTCTCTAGTTTACTGTACGGACGTCCTGTCACCTCTGCTAATACAAAAGAACAGCAAATTGTACATTTTGTGTAACCCTGGTCAGTGAAAAGTGCCAAATATATTTGTTACATGTAGTATCTGCTGTGATCGGACAAACATGCGCACATACACACTTAAAAGTAGCTTACAGTATCCAGGTGGTAAATTATGGAATACTAATACTAATCATCTCTTTCACGTAAAAGAAAGTACAACAACTAAAAACATTCGGATAAATACTAGAAACTAACTACAAAGGTATTCCTCATAGACTGTATTCCTCCAGCATCTGTCAAACTATCTTAACGGTTATACACATATTTGACTCTCTAATTTAACGCAAACTTACTGGTAAACTTTACTGCGCTCTTAAAGCAGGCACAAAACATTCACACAGACACACTATAACCCCAGTTAACTTTATAACACAACTGGGGATAATATAAATGATCTTTGACGATGTAGTTACTCACAGCGGACTTTCGGAGAATGCAGTTAGCCCCGAGTGTCAGTTTGTGCGCGTGCGAGATGCAGTTGATGCGCGGCGCGTCCGCAGCGCGGATCACACGCGTATCTCTGCGGAGGTTAGAGAGCGTCCGCTCTGTGGATCTGGTTTGAATCCGCCGCGAGTCCGCTCTGCGGATTTGATTCTGGGGCGGATGTGGCGGACCGAATGCGGATCCGCCCCGGAGTCTGTTGCTATCTGGGACATCACTGATATTCAACTCTATGTGGCAGGAAAACCAAAGCACTATATTTTATAGTGCATTGACGTATACTGAATCTGTATTTCAAATCTAGAAAACCAAGATAAACTTTATAAAATTGGACAGGCACAAATAGCACTGCGCGTTATTATAATAGATCCATAGCACTGCGTCTGCCTATTTCTATTTTGAACTTTTTATCTTTATTGAAGTGATGACCAAAATAAAACAATCAATTGAAATAAATTAAACATATACATCCGAAATAGGGTTTGAAAAATACAGTATATGGGTTGGAACCATAGTTTGAATCCACACAAATATGCCAGGTTCGAGGCCTGTATTTGCTTAAACCGGATGTTGCGCGTGTTTCTGGTTCTAATGCTAAAGCTAATGCTTAGGCTAGCGGATTCGTGCAGATTGAAAACCAACCACTCAAAGGTAAAGGCGCGCTGGTTCTCAAAACATGTGGATTTAATAACGACATGTCGTGTACATTTGCTTAGGGGGATGTGAGGCATAAAGTCCTCTTTCAGACTGAGTGACTGTTGTGTTTGTGTCTGTTAAAGTTGTATTTTTACCAAGTTAAGTTCAGTTCTATCGTTAGCCAGATCCTATGTTAGCCTTTAGCATGAGATTAGCTCAGAAGCTGTGGTCTATTGCTGCCGTTTGTGTATCATATTGCCGATATAGCTACTACTTCACACATCAAAGTGAATAAAGATGATATGAGCGTGTGGGAGTGTATTGCTGTAAGAGGATATGTAAGTTGAATAATTCACATGTCTAGAACCTAGGTTAGCTTTGTAGCTAATATGTCCGCGCTGTGGTTACATCCTAAATGTGATCGTGCTTTTACGTGTAACAATCTATGCATTCCAAAACACTTGTGTGTAGCGTTAGATGTGAATGTGTTAAGAGTGAGAGATTTGACTGTACAGTCTATGGATTTGACACATGCAGAGGGTAGACTTTCCTTTCGTTCAACTTTTCCAAAGTTACATGAGGTCGAAATGTGTACGGTCTAACCTACACTTTACTCATTTGTCGTCAGTCCTTCATGTTCACTGTACACCTTTGAATGAGTGGAATGAAGAGCTACATAAAGACAAGTGTAAGCTTAGTTTCTCATTTGTCATTTTTTTGGACTATGAAAACCTCATTTACGTATCATCTTGCCATTTGAATTGGACTATATTAAAGGCATGGGATTACGGTGTATTTTAGTGTGTGTGTGTGTGTGACATTGTTTTATTATTCGTTCAATATTACAGTGAACAGCTACTTACAGACAGCTGCCCATGCTTTAGCTTAGCTTTAGATTGTTAGAAACGTATGATTGATGGTTGTAAGTTAACCCTTGTGGATGATTGTAACCTTTTGTTGATTACTGTATGGAAAACACAATGTAGTGTTTTACAGGAATGCGATACGTTTTTTTCTGCCTTCAGCAGTAACAGTTCTGGCCCCACGTGGTCCACAACTCGTGTCCCTGTTTCTGAGTCTGCTCTCAACATGATGTAGCTCCACAGACAACCACGTGCTTCTAGTTAGCTGTAATCATATGAATACTCATTTAGGGATGTAATTTGTTAATATTATTATATTAGAAATATTATCAATGTTCGTTTGTGTTAAGAGTTGGGGTTACTTTCAATCATTGATTGAGATAACTTAAAGTTCATGATTTTTTAATCATATGTCCTATTGCAGGATCCTGCTGCTTAACTGCTTTTCTTTTGTAATGGAGACGACCAGAGTGTGTGAGCTGGACGTGGCCTCGAGGAGGGTTGTAGGAGGCAGTCACTCCTCTCCTGAACTGGACAGCCCCTGTCAAGTAAACCAGATGTTTGATTCATATTGTGTATTAATTTCTTGACTTTATTGACCAGCCCAACTATTTTATTTTTCTGAAAGTATAGAGTTGTGCTATACTTAAAGGGGTAATCTTAATCTATAGGCTTTGTTGGAAGATGTGCTATAAAATTATTATGAAAATAAGTATATACAGGCGTTGTTGGTGTGATGTTTTGAAGGTGGAGGCTGATTTTGGTTCCTGCTGCGCTGAGGAGGAGAGAGGAGAGACTCCTGGGAGAGAAGACAGTCCCACGGAGCTTGGAGACACAGACATGGACCCTGGAGGTTTTCAGACATTATTTTACTTCTTTTGCAAATATAAGACCTAATGCAGGATTTGTCCAATAATTCGTGGATATCAAAATTGCAAGACAATCAATCACAAAATTGTACTTCATTTTATTGAAAAATTTGATTTTAATACATTTGCGTATTGCCACACAATAAGACCAGGCTACAAATATAATTTTGTTCTAAGGTCTGGATTTTCTCCATTGAGCTCTGTTAACAGGTCGGAGGGTTTAACTCCTTTTGCAGATTGAGATGATTGGATCAGAGTTTACCATGACGTTTGTAACTCGCCCGAGTGAGTCGCTAGCATTTAGCCCAACCATCTCCTTTGCCACTAACAGAGCCCGTGGGGATTAGAGCCGCAACATCTGTGCCAGCAATGACATTTGCTAAACATTCCTCTTGCTCCGGCTTCAATTTCTCTATTTGGGAGCAGAACCGTTACTTAACTATCAAATTTGCCGCCATTGCCAAACAACGACCAGCAAATTCGGTGCAAACTCTTGACATCACAGACACCCGCCTCCCTGGCTCGCTGATTGGTTGGATGGGATACAACCGAGGTAACTATAGCTACTGGGACCAGACCTAGACTTGCATGTAGGGAAATAATATCTGACCGGAGTTTACGGTCAGTTTAGCTGGATGGCTAAGGCCAGGCTATATTTGCGTTGTCGCGGCCTCAAACCCGGAAGTGAGACATCACACCGGGAACCGGCTCATTCAAAATGGACAGTGATTCCCACAGCAAAATCAGAAATAATACCTTGTCTACAGACAGAGTATAGATATTTTATTGATCCCCATAGGTGTCTAGTAGCAGCAAAAACTCATCCATCCACACAAACAAAACAAATAAATTGATTATTCATAAAAGCTAACAATAGTAATAATAAGAAACAGTACTTCAAGTCACAGCAGCAGAGGTGGAGCAGGACAGGCCACAGCAGCATAGGCAGTGCAGCCCCTGGGCGGAGCAGGACGGGCCACAGCAGCAGGTATGGTCTAGGCTCTGAGTGGAGCATGGGTCAAAGCAGGTGGAGCAGCTTGCTTTGGACCATTTTCACTGCTCTGATCCAAAGCAAAATGCTTAATCCTTGGCAAGCATTTTTCAAAAGTATCAACTGATCAAGAGCAAAGCGATCACAGACCCTGATATGGCGTTTGGATAGCGAGTTGACGCTGATAGGAACAAATACACAAACGTGCGTCTTGCATAGAAAAAATAGTATCTGCCATTAAATCAACATACTCACTAGACAATTTTTTTTATTTTCTCGTCAGTGAGCACTCACACATATAAATGCGATACATACACCATAAAAGGTTCAATCTAACACGGTTTTCAGACTCAAACATTTGTATATATTTATTCATGGTAAGTGTTTTACCATGAATAAATGTGATAACTTTTAGAAATGACTCGTTTCATTTTAATGATCAATTTACAAGGTTGAAAACCTAAGTTTTAAAGGTCACCAACGCATATTTCACCGTCCCTGACAGCGCAGGGGTCTGTCCTAGCGCTGCTTGCTGTAGCATTTCCACTGAACCAGGGGTAAAGTCTCTGTAAGGAACACAATAAACACAACAGAGAGGGTCCCATTCTTTTGCAACTCGTTGAAGTTCATTGGCCATTCTTACCATGGCGGCGATGAAGTGTTAGTCCATCCTCCTCGTCATCGCCAACATATACAGTACAGACCAAAAGTTTGGACACACCTCATTGAAGAGTATTTTCATGATTATGAAAATTGTAGATTCACACTGAAGGCATCAACACTATGAATTAACTCATTTTGAATTATGTACGTACCTAAAAAAAAAAAAAAAAAAAAAAAAAAAAAGTATATTTGGAACAACTGAAAATATGTCTTACTGCTAATTTTACACAGGAGGTATACGCGCAGCAGACGCGCATAACATTTTTACATGTTAACCAATGGGATATTTACACTACTGGTGTTATACGCGCGTATGACTGACGTATGACGCGAGGCTGCGCCTAATTTAGGATGGATTTCTAATTTTGTGTGCGCAGCAACGCGTCTCCTAGTCAAAACACATAGGAAACATGATTCTAGCGGTTCTTGGCTCTAGATCACACACACACGGTTCTTCCTTCCTCTTGACTTCTCCATAGATTACACAGGGACAGCTTCAAAACCCGCGGACCTGCGCGCACGGCCAGTGGACATACAGCCGAGTAATGTCACGTGCATATGCGCGCAGTCAACGCTTACGCACTGTTAACGCCTACTCTGGAAATTAGATGTTATATTTCTAGGTTCTTCAAAGTAGCACCTTTTGCTCTGATTACTGCTTTGCACACTCTTGGCATTCTCTTGATGAGCTTCAAGAGGTAATGACCTGAAATGGTCTTCCAACAGTCTTGAAGGAGTTCCCAGAGATTCTTAGCACTTGTTGGCCCTTTCGCCTTCACTCTGTGGTGCAGCTTACCGAAACCATCTCTCCTTATTGATCAGATAGCAATTGCACAGCCTGAGTGTGAATCTACAGTCAATAATCATGAAAAGAAAGGAAGCTCATTGAATGAGAAAGTGTGTCCAAACTTTTGGTCGGTACTGTATGCAGTCTTCTTCCTCTCTCATCCAAAGCCTCCTCCTTTGGCCATGAAGCGTATTGTGTGTCTCTGAGACATCAGTGGATATTCAAGATCTTGTCATCTTGAATATCCACCGATTTAGCTCGAAAGATAGACTGACAAATTGTAAACAAGCGTGTCAGTATGTAGGAGATATACTTCCGGTTCACAGGTTACCAATGTGACGTCACTGAGGGGAAAAGCGTTTTTTATAAAAATAAAAATAAAAAAAATTCTAGGGCTGTTAGTTTTTCTCGATTTGGGGTGAAAGATTTTGAAACCTTTCAGTTCTTTTCCAATAGAAAATGCTAATGACCCTTAAAGCCCCAGAGGTTTTGACATCTTAATTTCATAAGGCTTTAACTTAAAAGTAGTGCTGTCAAAATTAACGCACGTTAATTAATTTTATTCATTAATCGCGTTAAAAAAATGATCGCAATTAACGCATTCCCACACATCCCATAATAACACTCAGAACGCCATGGACACGTGCGCGTGTTGGTGACAGAGCAGGTCTCTGGGAATCTACGTTTTAAAATAATACACGCGTGTCCGTGGGACACCTGCTGTTGTTTCCTGTATGAACTCTGCGAGCTGAGCTGCGGGCGCTCTGGACAGCAGTTCCTCCAGCGGCTCTGATCACGGCGAACGGCGCTGTAACGTGATCATATCCAAGACCACGCACAGATGTGCGTGTCTTTGCGTAACTCGCGCACACAAAAAATACAGCACAGAAGCTGGACAACGGAGCCTCAGTCTCCTCCGTGTCTTCTCCTGAAGCGCACTCGCTAAATTAAAGCGGGGGTACCTAATTTTCCCTTCCTCTACCAGTTCATGACAGATTTAATAACATTCTGCATTTCTGACTCTTTTGAAATGTCCCTCATCTGTAAAAAACAATAGTTTTGGTCTGTGTCACTACAGAAAGACAGAATGTTAATGTTAATGCAGTTTTTTATAGATTTATTGTTATAATAAACAAATACAGTACATGAATTTTGACACTCGGTTGGACACACTCTGCTGTTTTAAATAGTACCGCAGCAGCTTGGCGCCTAGAGGGTTAAAACTTAATTTCAAATACAAACCCTGCATAAGGTTTTTAAAACAAAAAGCACATGCTGAACTGTGACTGTCACTGCCATATCCATCAGAGAGGCCATTTTGTAGAAGATTGTATAACACTATGTAAAAGGAAAAATCCATCCGAGTGCACTGCCTTTGTACCCCTGTGCTCCTGTAGCGTCTGGGGCCCCGCTAGACGGCATAGTCTTGTTCATAACTGCAGCCTTCTGGACTAGGGATGTAAATCGGTGACCATTTAACCGGTGGTTGACAGTCACAGCGTTAACCGGTCAAAGCTTCATAACGCTATTTTAAGCCCTATTTGCACGATGTGACGAGCGGGTTCGTAGCTAGCTGTGGGCGCCAATGTATCAGTAAACTCCGGGCCGACTTTCATGCCGCACGCACACATACACATGCGCACACACACACACTTTCCACCCCTCCATTGATACGTAACATCCACACGCATCATCTCTCCCCTCTGTTACCGTAGTAGTTGCACACTGGTGCGGGTCAGAACTACATTGGAGCTTATATTTACACACATTCACACATACACACCTACATGTATTGTACACACATACCGGTCTGTCGCGCTCCTCTGTTACTGTGCCCAAAGGATCCTCGCAAATACGGGGCTCCAGTCGAACCACATGGAACATGTTTGTGCTGCTGGTCATTGTCATTAGATCAGCTCCACACACATCACTTTAAAACTTTAGCGGAGACCTGCAAGACGCGGCGCGTCACTCGCTGCTCTGACCATGTGAACGAGCAGTCTTTTGCTAAAAAATGCTTTAACCCGTAGCACAGCAGAATGGGAAGATTAAAACAGCAGTTCTCTGTGCGCAAAGGTGCCGAAGCTGTTGCGGGTTTTGGCGCCTCTGTCGCGGCTCTGATCCAGTAGAACGCAGAGCTGCACTTATAGAAAGTACGCGGCTCGAAATGGCTGTTATTTCAAAGAACGTGGACTATTTTAAACTACGCGGTCAACCGGTTTCAACCGGTTAATGAGGCTCGGTGGTCGGTCATGAAAATGTATAGTTTTTTACATCCCTATTCTGGACCAACACCAGACTGCTCTGGAGAAAAATTTCTATCAGTAGCAGGAGCATTGACTAGCGGGGCCCACCAGCCCTATGCCAGGACTATCATGCACGTGCAGCGCTGGTGATCAGTCTGTTTTTATAGAAAACTGAAGGATTTGACAAGAAAAAGTTCAGGATTACAAAGGACATTAAAATCCCCTCAAAATCTGACCTTTTATAAAAGCTGTAGGTTCTCTGTGAGCTGAGGTCGAGCTGTTTTAGTTTACATTGAGTTCTATGGGACATTTTTCTGGGTAGCCCACGTGAATTTAGTCTGCAGTATCATGTGCCCCCTGTGCCCATTGGTGGGACAGCTATAAGCTAGTAATACCCTATTAAGATATTATTATAGATCCATGGTTGTACCTCATTCTGAATCTCAGGATCTCTGTAATCTGTTTGGAATTAATGTATCTGGAGAGTAAGCTCCGTCCACTGAGCCATTAGACATCAGATGTCATACCTCATTGTTATGCTCAGAACAGAATGTGTCTACTTTGTGAAACTTTGAGTGATCTCAACACTCACTTGTTTTAAAACCAATAGGTGGTTTGTGTGTGATTACTGTTCTATGTGTCATCTGAAGGGAAGGAGGTGGTGTTGTTGATGCAGGCTCTGAATTCTCTGGACACTCCTGAAGAGAAACTGGCCGCTCTGTGCAAGAAGTATGCAGATCTGGTGAGAAGGAATTGGGACAGAGACAATCCAGTAGAAAGCGATTATATACACAAATACATTGAATATAATGTGTCAGGGCCACTACCATTCATGGCCCTGACACACTGGCAAACTAGAAAGCATTCATTTTGTTATATGGTTTGAGAGCAATATTGATGATTCTACTGGACACGGTTTAAACCAGTACTCATACACACTTTAGCAGCACTGGAGAGAACCCTGATAAATGTCACCTCAAAGGAATCACTGTTTGTGTATTTGTTGTTCCATGAGCATATGCACTGCCTTTGAACCCCTGTGCTGCTGTAGCATCTGGGGCCCTGCTACAGTGCAACAGCAGAGTCTGGTTCATAACTGGAGCCTTCTGGACCAACACCAGACTGTTCTTTTAAAGACCAGACACACCCTGTATTCATAATAGAATAATTATGGTGAGAGGGTTAAACGTCATTCTGTGAGCAATAAATTAGTGTCAGACAAAATAGTCTCTTCCTTAGGCAAGACCCTTCACCCACATTAGAATGATTCTGGTGTGTGTGAATGGTTGGTGGTCATGGGAGGGGCTGATGGCACAGACTGGTTGCCTCACTTCTGTCTGTGTCCCAGATCAGCTGTGGCTACAGTAGTAGTGTACCTCCACTCTGTTTGGAGTGAATGAATAATGTGGTGTCAGAGTCCAGAAAAGAGCTGTACAAAACTGATTCAATGTTGCACACGGTCTATGGGTCACATTAGGACTTAACACTATGTATTTATCCTTGTGGGTCACACCTGCCCTCACCTTCAGGTCGAAGTTAGAGCACCACCTAATGGATACAAATACACACATGGCCCCTGCACGGACATGCAGCCTCACATGTTGCTACAGCGTGTGCTTGTCCTGCAGCTGGAGGAGAGTCGCTCCATGCAGAAGAGACTGAAGGCCCTACAGAAGAAGCAGGCCCAGATCGTCAAGGAGAAGATTCACCTCCAGGCAGAGCACAGCAAGGCAATCCTGGCACGCAGCAAACTGGAGAGTCTGTGCCGGGAGCAGCAGCGCCACAACAAGACCCTCAAGGTACCACACACAGGTACCGTGTGCGTGTGTGACGTTCAGGATACATCCAATTTTTCCCCTTCTGTTCCTGTTTGTTCATACTCATGTACTCAAATATAAGAAGTTAGTAAAATCTCCTCATCGAGCTACAATGTTTCAACATCTTCAATGAGAGGTGAAACTTTATTTGTATGGCACTAAAATCAATCTGGCTTTTCAATGAACAACTTTCTGTCATTTACCTGTTTTGAATTATTCAAATTAATATTGTAGACAAGGGTTTGCAACACTTAAATACCCAGATAATGAGATAAAATTAGTAAATCCACCTTACGCACTGCCTTTGAACCCCTGTGCTGCTGTAGCGTCTGGGGCCCTGCTACAGTGCAACAGCAGAGTCTGGTTCATAACTGGAGCCTTCTGGACCAACACCAGACTGCTCTTTTAAAGACCAGACACACCTTGTAAATTTAAACAATAGGATGCAATTATGTGATCATGGGTTCACATTCAAAAGGGCCCAAAAAGTGAGATTCTAGTCTTAGTTTACAGCACATTTCTCTAATTCCTGGAACAATCCACATGAAACAAAAAATGTCACAAATTTCCACATCCTTTTTGTCACCACATATTATCTCCGGTCTTGGTCTTATCCAGGGGTTTCAAACTCTGTTTATCTGGATGCCACACAAGTTAGTCTGTTTGATTGTGGCCTGCATAAAGGGGTGTATTTATCACTACGTGGATCATAAGTATCTTTAGTCTCTCGCTCACTATCTGGTCTCTCTTGGTCAGGAGGACAATGCCCAGCGGTCCCGGGAGTATGATGAGCAGAGGAAGGAGGCCATGCTACACTTTCAGTCCACGCTTGGCGACATCGAGGCGCAGATGGAGACTCACAGTTCACGGAACTCAAAACTGCGACAGGAAAACATGGAGCTGGTGGAGAAGCTCAAGAAACTCATCGAGCAGTATGAGCTCCGAGAGGAGGTGCGGACACAGAAAATCTGAATGTTTTGCAAAGATCATCCATGTTTGTATGTCATGAACATTTAATTAACAAGAATATAATGCTAAAACACGCCTCTATCACCTATTGGTCAATAATGTGAGAAGATCAGAAAGACTTTGACAATGACTTAAAATTAAGGCCCTGTTCAGATGAAGAGGAAACGATATACCCTTTGGTACCAAATTGCATAAAGACAGAACTGGATCCCCACACCATCTGTTCTCACAGAGCTAAAAACAAATCCATTTCAACTCAGCAGTAGGGGTGGGCGATATGGGCTAAAATGAATATCTCAATTATTTTCATTATCAGAGAGGAAGCCTGTCTCACACTTTCATGAAGATTGTTCCAGATTTTAGCAGCATGAATCTGACATTAGCATCCGAGTGCACTGCCTTTGAACCCCTGTGCTGCTATACCCCTGTTACAGTGCTATAGCTGACGTCTGATTCATAAGTAGAGCCTTTTGGACCTACACCAGAATGCTCTTTTAAAGACCAGACACAAAGACCAACTGTATTTTCAATGTACTGTATTTTTCACATCACTAGACGCACCTGATTATAAGGCACATTCATTAATGCTGGTTAAGCAAAGGCACGATGACGTGCGAATGTCATTTTTATGTCAATGTGAATGAATGTAACGTAAATGACTACATGTTTCAGTTGTAACATTTAAACAAACACTACTTGGTTTTGAAAAGGAAAGAATTATAACATAAGATTAGACTTTATTGATCTCACACTGGAGAAATGTGCGTGTCATTGTGCAAAAGAAAAGTGTGCAAACATGTTAAAGGTTAAAAAATAAAGTCTGTAGGATATAATTATGTACAATTTAAAAAGTGGCAATAGAAGTGCTGGTTTTTCAGTCCTAGTGCATTACTGACATTGCATAGTCTGACAGCGGTGCAGTAGCGCTCCTTCTTGCACTGAGGGTGTCTCAGTCTTCCACTGAAGGAACTCCTCAGCTCCTCTACAGTCCTGTGCAGTGGGTGGGAGGTTTTGTCCATGATGGAGGTGACTTTGCCTAGCACCCTCCTGTCTCTTACCTCCAGAGTCCAGGGAGCAGCCCAGAGCTGGCCCTCCTGACCAGCTTGAGTCAGGAGGATTAATGAATGATTAATGAATTAAAGGCGCAAGCAGCTTCGAACGGCCCTGGCCGCACCACGCAAAGTAGGGGGCGCCACCGTGCCATTATTTGCTCCTGTAGCCCTAGAGAAATGTTCAAAAATTTTTAATGAATATGATCAGTCGGTTTGGCTCCCCATGTAAAACTTTGGCTCAGTCTGCAGGGGGCGCTAAAGAGCCAATGTAATATTTCACACCTTCAGGTGACCAAGGCCCTCAGCCTGTGCTCACATGCTAAATGTATACGGAGCTCACATCTCACTACATGATCACACATTTGAACATGGATGGCGTGACCATAAAATGATAGAACCGGGAAGCGCGGAGAGGACAAGACTTTCTATTGGATGGCTGTTTCGCTGTGTAAGCAGTAACCGGTAACAAAGGGTGTATTCAGACCTGAAAAGTCCTTTGCTCCGCTTGCTTGATCCGAATCAAAAGCGGACCAAACTTTTTTCTTTTGCTCCGGTTCGTATTCAGACTGTCCTTTTTGCAAGTGAACTTTTTTATATAAACATATTGACACGTGTGACGATCGGCGCTCCTATTGGACAGAGAGCTCACGGAGGATAGACGCGGAACCAGAGGAAAACATTGAGGGCTCGTATGTGCAGCATGTCTGCTCTGCCTATGTTTGCTCTTTTTAGAGCAAAACCACCTTCAACATCAACAGCAGCTCATATGACACAGGCCAAACATAAATATTGGAACAGCGTCGGAGAATGCGTGAGGAGAAAGCCGAAGGAGACTGTCTGTGCGCTCCGTGCCCTGTCCCACACATGGATCTATGATAATAACCCTGTTCCACAACTTACTGACAGCAGCATTGTGGATAAACCATGGATCTATAATAACCACGGGACAAACAGACGCTGAGGATCAGGTAGGAACCAAAGAACACAATTCACTACATGATGCGGAATATTTCTCTTTGAGACGTGAGTCAAACACGTCAGGCTTTTAATAATGCAAATGGTTTGAAGATGCTGCCATTAACATCACTGTATACTGTGAACAGTTGTAACTCCATAAGCCTGTTGCACAGCGTCTCCTCACTGCTCCAGGTCTGCAGGAATATGTGTACTGAATATCGTGGCTCTACGACAAACTTGACCTCGGACCTCCTCCCATAGGCACAATGTAAACCGACTTTTGTAGGGTGCGCTGTTGTAGCATTTTTTTTGTCCCATAAAAATAACCAAAAACGTAAATTTTTCGCCGGTTCTGACTTATGGGCAAGATTTGGCACGTTTTTATGCATGTTCAGGGGGTCAAATTAAGGCCCCCGAGCAAAAACAATATAGGTTTCAATGGCACCTGATACATCAATTTAATCAATCCTTTATTGTCTAACAGATGGAGAAATTCAGTTCGATGAATAAACATCAAGGCCGGCTGCGGACAACATATCCTTATGACAGTTATTCAACAGCAGAGAGCAAAACGCTGGGAAAGCATATGGATCTTTTTTAAGGGACATCGTCACTCTGACGCACCTGGTCCAATATGGCGTGTCCGAGGGGAGTTTGGGTGGGGGAGGTGGAGGGGAAGACCACCATAGACAGAGAGAGAGAGAGAGAGGGAGGCAGACATGTAGAGGGAGGGGTGAACCAGTGGTGACTGACAGTCTATGAGTTATGAGAGAGTGTGCGTTACATAGAGTTTACACACGCAACAGTCACGTTTTGGTTAGTGACAGGCACTGCATTCACCATTGTGAAAGCAATAGGCCCTTACACCAGTTGGTGCTCGGGCCTAATGAAGAAAAGGTAGAAAAGAGGAAAGCGCCGATGTGACTAGCTGCATAGCGGGGGCTGGCGTCAGAACAATTGCAGCTGCTCTGCGGTTGCGATGCTATTGGCATCATAGCTATTAACATGCTCAAGTGAGTCACCAAGAGCTTAGCTTATCAGTTTCGTAAGCATGTCTCTTCATAGAGGTCTTTTTAAGGTCCATTTGGCCATTGCACTAATATTAACCTTAAATGTAACAGTAATACTCCATGAGGTGCCATAAAAATGTGTTTGTAGCTTTAAATGGACTATTTAAATGGACGCACTTGCAACTTTCATAAAAGTGGTTTGGATGCAGGTACAACTAAGTGCATGACCACAAACCAAGGCTGTAAGACCCAAAACTTTGTACTGAGTTGTATGGTGTGATCTGATGCACGTGTCTTGCATTTATGCTTCATCTATTCACGGGTAACTCATCCGGTTTCAGTGTCTGCTCGGACTTTTACATTTTGCTCGGATCATTCTCTGATCTTGTCCAAAGTGAGATGCTGATGCATTTTCAAAAGTTTGCATTCCTCCAGTGGTTTTTTGCTCGAGCCACTTGTTTCGGACCATGAATAGTCTCTGCTCCAGTGCAAAACCATGAATACTGTAGTGCAGCAACATCTTGCGTAGAAAAAAAGCAAGAAAATCTTCAAAAAAACACCTGGTCTTCTGGAGCTGACGTTTGATAATAATGTATCGGTTTTACATAGCGCTTTTTTGGACACTCGCTTCACACGTCATTATTCATTCACTCCCAAATATGGTAGTGATCACTACTACTGTAGCCACAGCTGCCCTGGGGCACACTGACAGAAGCGAGGCAATCAGTATGTGACATCGACCCCTCTGACCACCACCAAACATTCACACACACACACCAGACTCATTTCAGTCAATGGGGGTGTCTTGCCTAAGGACACCACGGTAGTTTGGCACTTTACAGCCGCCCCACTGTGGCTTCCCAGAGGTTAAGTGCCGAGGACACGACGACAGCAGATATCAGTGGGAGTCAGTGAGGTGTCTTGAGGTGGCCTCAAACCCACAGCCTTCAGGCTCTAAGGTCAATGCTCGACCAACTGAGCTACTGTCGCCCCAATCGTTTGGGATCAAAGTACTGTTTCTACATTTTGTGTTTATGTTTAGTCTTTGGGCACAAACTCTCCCCAATCCATCTCTATCTGTTTATGAAATGACCCAGTCATGCCGAGTCTGACTTCCTGCTATGTCAAATCTGACTTCCTGTTGTTCTGTTTCTCCTGCAGCACATGGACAAAGTGTTTAAACACAAGGAGCTCCAGCAGCAGCTGTTGGACGCCAAGCTCCTGCGGATCACAGAGATGATGAAGGAGGTGGAAGAGAAGCAGCAGAGGGAGCGTGAGATGGTATGTATAGTTAGGTCTGTCTTTTCGTATGTCTCTGTATATCTAAACCCTGCATTTTGTTGCAGCTGCTGAAGAATGCCACACACTCTAGACGGAAGTGTGAACAGATGAAAGAGCAGGAGACGCAGCTCAAACAACAGGTGAGAAATATTAGTGTGTAAATCCAGAGTGAGTTTGACACTGTCCTAGTGCCTTTGGGAGTATGCGTCAAATGCAGAAAACAGTTGTCTCCCCCGGGACAATTAAGTACAACTGAACTAAACTCCACCTTTTTAAGGTACACTGTGTAATTTTTAGTGTCATCTAGCGTTGAGATCTTATATTGCAGTCCAATATAGTACGGAAGCCTTTGAGTTGAGGAGCACTGTCAAAAGCTCTCAAAACGCCGGTATCATTAATTTGACAGTGCTCCTCAAATGTCATTCACCAGACTGCCAAGGAAAGAATACTTGAGTTTGATAAATGATCGGATCTCTCCAAACGTCTCTGGCACTTGACACAATTGCGTGGAGGCGACTTGTAAACAAGACCGCGCACCCTGCAAAGAGGCTCTGAGTTTTACCATGGATCTAATATGATATATAGTTTTACAAATGCGGTGTGAAGAGAAGAGACGCATGGAGGAATGTCTGTGGGAGCTTGGAACTACAATCAAAGAAGCAGGAGATATACAGAACCACGGAAGGACATGGCTAAAAGCTCATGTTAGGGTGCTGTGGCTAACGCTAATGCTATCTGCATCACGGTAAGAAAAAAGAACATTCACTCACGCTGTTAAGTATAAGTATTCTGGCAATGGTTTTGTGGGGATTCTGTGTGTGTTTTATTTGATGTTTTTTCCCTGAATAAGTTTAGTTGACACTTGACAGTATTTGGACTGTACTAGGACCATGTCAGAACATCTTGAGACTGTTGCAGATTCTGCCTGGTTCTCATTGTCAGTGAGAAAGTTATTGTTCATGTTTGTATTGTTCACGTGTGAGTCTGTTGAGTACAAACTACACGATGTGCCTCCTGTTGTGTTAACGCTCTCTTTTGGTGCTTGTGGTTTGCAATGTTGACACTTTGCTGCTATGACGCTGGACTTCCGCATAATTATTTTTCTAAAAGATTGTTGTTTGGATCCGTCTTTTGCATAACTATTCCTCCATGGTTCTTTTAAATAACTGTGGTCCTCCTTGGTTACTTCTTTCAACTTGTGAAGGCACGGTGAAAGCAACGATCTCTGTAGCTCATGTGAAACAAATGCGATTCCCACATCCTTTTCCAAGATGGCGCACTTTCAAGTAGAGCACTCTCTCATGGACACTTAAATTCTAAGCCTATGAATACAATTTAAAAAACATGGTGGAGGTAAATATTCTTAAAGGTCACATTTGTTATTAGTTAAAATGTTTTTTCAAATTGAGCAGCTGTAAAAATTGCACAAGGTGGCTTTAAGCCACACACTGCAAGGTTGTCCAGTGCGAAACTAATGTATGAAAGTGATATTCTACCCTCGTTACCGTTCATGTGGTGTTTTTGTGGTTATTCTCTAATCTGATTCAAACATACGCACTGCCTTTGAACCCCTGTGCTGCTTTAGCATTTGGGGCCCTGCTACAGTGCAACAGCAGAGTCTGGTTCATAACTGGAGCCTTCTGGACCAACACCAGACTGCTCTTTTAAAGACTAGATACAAACCCAACTTCCTTGTGTTTAAGACATGTTCCTGTGGGGATAAATAGTCCTCAGAATCAATTTATTACTATATGCAGAATAAAAAGACACCGGGGGCACCAACACCACAAAGCACACACACAAACAAAAAAGAAAAATGGCAAGGCAAGACACAGTGAGGCACATATAAAACTCTTAAAAGCATAATTGAGAAACTACGAAGGAGCTACAAATACAAGCGGATATCTGGGTGCTCTGTTCAGTCTTATAACTGAATGACATTGTTTGCCAGTCATGAACTCTTGACCCGGGATAGATTTGCCCCTGTCTGAGGTCTGAGGGCGCTGCAATTCGGTTTAATTGGATTCAATAGTATATCTGCCTGCTTTTGACTGCTACATTGCATATAATATTGTCCCTCTCCATTGCTGTCTTCTCTCCACTCTTATCTCACATTCCTCTGGCAAGGCCGAAGATAACATGGACTTCTCCAATCTACAACACTCTGCAGTCTCCAGCTCGGATCCCGCTCCCCCCGCCTCCCTCTACCTATCCATCTTCTCCTTCCCTCCCCTCCACTCCTCATTGTCTTTCCGGCTCACCCCCTCCCTGACCCTGCCCCCCTCTGACAGCCACATTGGGCCGGCAGTCGGAGCTGCTCATCCCGAGAAAAAAATCTGTGGTTTATACAAAGCACAATGTGTCTATCCAATTGTCTGTGAAACTGTTATTGCTCCCTGCTGTTTCTTGCTTGCACACAGCGCCGCAAAGTGGCACGCTCTCTGCCAAAACAATTTCCAAGTGGTAACTTTTTTTGTTACTTACGTGGCAATAAAAATTATTCTGATAACCGCCTGAGGGAAGAAGCTATTTGCATGTCGGGTGGTCCTGCACATCAGGGACCGGAATCTTCTCCCCGAGGGAAGAGGGTGGAACACTGCTGCTCCAGGAGGGCCAGAGTAGTCATTTACAATCCTCAGGGCTCACAGTTCAGTCCTCCGAGCAGAACGAACCACTTTGTTCAGAGCCATCTTCTTTGGCTGTGATGCTGCTAAACCACACAGTAATCACACCAGCAAGCAGGCTTTCTAGGGTGCAGCGGTAAAAGTTCAGCAAGATTTTTAGTTATTTGTAAAGTTTCTGCAGAAAGAAGACGCTGGCGAGCTTTAAGTGTGGTTGGTGTTTTTGTCCAATCTCAATTTGTTGGACAAAGTTCAACTAGTAATGATGCGTCACTTTTTGTCATTTGAAATAAAATGTTTTTAGAGTTCAATACATAACTTAGTTATTTAAAATGATTGTATATTGTAATTACAAGTATCAACGCAAAAAAGGAGTGAAAAGACAAATTGGTATATGATAAAAATCATATGCCTAAACATTTATTTTGCCCTTTTTCTATTTAGCAAATATGTCTCCATCCTAATTCATACATTTACCAAGGTTATATGGATTTACTGACAACTATAATGTATGTAATTACAAAGTCCAGTATGTAGCTACATGCATGTTTCTTGAGACCAGGTGAGGGGACGAGTGGTCATTCATTGCTCGTTGGTAATCTCATTTGTGGGAAGGGATTCTCAAACGAATATGCACACAACAACTTCATTACAAGCACAAAAACATAATGGCAACACGTGATACAGCACATAAGCACAAGGACGTTTTAGCTTAGCTTCCTATAAATAGCTAAATGTAGCTAGCTCACTGTGTACAACAGACAATCCAACTTTTACACAAGTAAATGCATTTCAGTGAGAGTTTTGCGCCAACTGGAAAAATGGCTAACCAGTTATTTCCAGGATTACCACAGACTAGTCAAATCCGGAGCTGTGCGATAACCCTGAAAACCTTCTCATGCCGTGTTCTGTCGAGCTGCCTTGAATTCTATCTTCGGCCTAAATAGTAAAGTGTGGACCTCATCGACCGACCAGGACGTTGACTTTTGGGGCAATCTGTGCGATTCCATTTCTCTCAAGTGAGCAGCATGTATTATAGCAGAACAGCCGATTTAAAAGATGGCGGTTGAGTTGTTTTTACCAAAGGGTCAGATGTTGCTTCCGGTGACAACACTCGTTGACCAATCAGTGTAAGGCAGTCGGCTGACATCACGTTATGGCGTAGCTTCGGCACGCTTGGAACCACTGTCGAGGTGGTACGAAAAAAGTTCCCTGATCCCAATCCCAACTCTAGTGGGAATTCAAAATAGCCGCGCCGTACCGTACTGTACTGTGGAAAAGTGGCAATAGTCTGTATAAAGGTGGACGGTGCTAACCCGCATGCTCAATGAAGCCCAATAGGGAAATGCTCATGGTAAAGTTTGGCTCCTATTGACTAGCTCAGTAATCGTTTGTATCACACTCACCATTTTCACCATAACATCTGTGGTGTAGCACTGTCTATAAACTCAGATGTCATAAGAACTGACCATATACGCTCAGTGATCTCTTTATAAACGCAATGGACCACATGTTTCACATTTGATACCAGATTTCTCATTGAATTCCAATCCATCATAAACACACACTAACTTTGCAGATTAGATTTAAATATTCCCCAGTCTTGGGCTGGTCTTAAAGGGGACATATCATGAAAAATCCACTTTTTGTGCCTTAAATGCCTTGTGTTGTGTAGTTGGAGCCTCTAGAAGTGCAAAAAAGTTGAAATCAGTCTCTTCATGGGTTGCAGAGAACACTTCATATTCTGTTTAGGTAAGATTTTTCAACCCGTTCTGATTTTGCCATTCTCTATTACGTGTTTAGAATTATTACGTCAGTTTTTGCAGCAAGATTGCTATATAAGGGCATGGGCGTCTAACAAAACACTTCGGCCCAGCCCTCTTCTACTGTGCATCACTTAATTTGTAGTCCAAGCTCAAGGATGCCAGCGCACAGGGCTGGACTGGCCATCGGGCGTACCGGGCAATGCCCAAAGGGCCGATGCCCATATTTGGGCCGGTCTCTCTGCCTCATACAAAACACATGTTCATGAGAAGTGTAAATCCGTTGAGAATTGTTCGAGCGGGGCGCGCGTATCCGCGGGGCACCTGCTGTATGTACTCGAACGGGATTCCGCCACCTCAGCGGCCGCAGTGTTCCGGGGCATCTGCGGCCGCTTTGTAATGAGCAAAAGCGGCTCGCAGCCGCTCCACCGTGTTGTGGCTGAGCGCGCAACCTCAACGTGGCCATGTACCCAACCCCATAAACGCGCACAGGACCATGCGTGTCTTTGAGTAATCTGTGCACCCAATAAATACACTGCTGCAGGAAACAGTCCGCGTCTCCCCTCTCCTCTCGAAGTGCGATTAAATAAAGCTGATACCTACATTTTGCATTGCATTAAAAGTTCATGTTTGAGCCCAAAAGTAATCTGTTGTGAACAAATTAAACAGATTTACAGCCAGCAAATGGCTGACAATATGCATTTCAGTCTTTTTTGACCAATTCTCATCCCTGTAACAAACAATAGTGTTGTCTGTGTCCACCTCCTTCACTCTGAGACATGTTTATTACTCTTGTAATGCAGACTATTGCATTTTATTTTATTGTTGAAACTGCACATATCCTGATCCTCTACAGTATTTGCTTCCACATACTGTATAAACCAGGAGTCGGCAACCTGCGGCTCCGGAGGCGCATGCGTCTTTTTCCTTCTGTAGAAGGAAAAACGTTAACGTTTTTAAATGCTGTGAAATTGTGCATAAGTAATATTCAATTTAAAAATTTCTGTCAACGTGTCTGTCAAACCGGCGTGTGAGCATCATAGACTGTGCGCATTGATCCCAAAGCTAAAAAGAGAAGAGTCGATAAGAAGACTGGACTAAGAATGAAAATTAACATTTGCTTTCAGTCAATGAGGAAGGCCTGCTTCATGTTTGCGATGTAATGAGAAGTTTCTATGAGATAATTGTATAACATGTATTGTTGTGCTTAGAAACTACAAAAATGGCCGCTCGGGGTGGAGTTGAACCTGTGTCACCTGGACACAGGTGACACAGGTTTGCAGGACTCATTTGCATTTAAAGAGACAACACCAAAACGGGTTGCTCTCAGACGCACCTCAGAACAGGTGTAGAAGAAAGGCCCGTGGAGCTACAAATAATGAGACTCAGACCCAGGCATTGCAGTTATGCTTTATATAGGCCACAAATTAATGATTTAGATGTAAAAATCAATTATTTGAAAACACAATATGTCCACTCTAAAGCCTGCAATGATATCGATGGTTAAACTTTGTCCTTTGTGTCTCAGCTCTCTCTGTACATGGACAAGTTTGAGGAGTTTCAGACCACTCTGGCAAAAAGCAATGAAGTCTTCACCACATTCCGACAAGAGATGGAGAAGGTACAGCTTAAATTTGTGCTAAACACACATTACAGACTTTAATTGTTGTGGACAAAATGTTGTCTGGGATTAGATCTAGTCTAGATTACAGGCGCCGTAACACGTCCATAATCTTACACTTTGTTTATTTCAGATGACGAAGAAGATAAAGAAGTTGGAGAAGGAGACTACTCAGTGGAGGAGCAAATGGGAGAACAACAACCAGGCTCTGCTGCAGATGGCTGAGGAGGTGACATAACATCTGACAATATCTCTAGTGTTTTTAGAAACACTAGATTGGTTTTGGGGTTTAGTGTCTTTTGGTTTCAGTCAGACATGAAAGAACAGAACTTTAATGGGGCGTTCAGACCGCTGACGCTTGAACGCAGCTTCCATGCGCACTGGACACACATTCACTGAATGAAGTACTGCACGGCGGAAGCGGCGGAAACGGTTCTGCCGCCTCCTTCGAAGTGTCGAGCGTGCTTTGATGCTAACAGGGTTAAGCAAGCGCCTTTTGGGGGAAAGTTCTTCTCCAAGAATGCAGCTCTGTAGCGTCTTTGTGTCCAGAGACCTCCCAGAGACTTCATATAACGGCAGTATGTGTTCACAGAGCTGCACCATAAGTTAATTTTATTAACTTTAATTTTATTAACTTATGGTGCTGTGTCGCGTTCCCGCGTAGTGTTGTCAGTAGAAAAAGTTAAATGTTCATCTCCTGCTTTTGTGGCATACAGTCCAGTCCACGTAACCGCCGCACCTGCGCAGGACAAGTGTGCATGTTAGACGTACATGCAATTCCAAGCACAAACGGACGTGACCATAGACTTTGCCTTCAAACTTGACGCAAGGCATGATCCGATCTGAACACCACATAAGACGGCTGGAAAAGCCTAATGTTTAAAGGATTATTTTTGGTTGCGTTTGGTTTGATCCTGACGAATGAAATGTTCTTCGAATCCCTGCACCAGTTATCCCCATTTCCATAAGTTCCTGATTGGACTTGATTAATTCAAACCGTTGATTGGCAGCTGTGGCCCTTCTCCATTGATTCTCCAAGTACCACCACAAATGACCAACTACACAGTAGCGTAGTAAGCCTACGTATTCATCAAAAACAAGGCAGAGGTTTAATTCCTAAAGAAATATATTTAAAGAAGCTATACCCAATTTTTTTTCTAAGTAGTTGATAAAAATCCTTATTACTACATACAAGTTGTATTATAATCCGTAAGTTAATTTAAAACTTGAGGTAATTGATTCAGCTGTGTAAGAATTACAAGCTGTGAAAAGTGCTGAGCAAGGAAAGTTTATTTATATAGCACAATTCATACACAAGGCAATTCAAAGTGCTGAACAAAACAAGAAAGCATTAAAATCATAAATAATCACAGAACATTAAAAAGAAAGATAAAAATATAAAATCCCTCAGTTGTATGCACAGCTAAACAGAACTGTCTTTAACCTGGTTTTAAACATTGTCAGAGAGGAGGCCTGTCTCACATCTTCAGGAAGACTGTTCCAGATTTTAGCAGCATGAATCTGAAAAGCAGCCTCCCCATGTTTAGTTCTGACTCTGGGCACTAACAGGAGTCCAGTCCCTGTGCTCCTCAGAGTCCGGGCTGGTTCATATGGGACTAATATATTTTGGTGCGAGGCTATGGAGAGACTTGTACTCAAGCAGAGCTGTTTTAAAGTCTATTCTCTGAGCCACAGGAAGCCAGTGCAGAGACCAGAGAACTGGACTAATGTGGTCGTACTTCCTGGTTCTAGTCAGGACTCGAGCTGCTGCATTTTGAATGTACTGCAGCTGTTTTACAGCCTGTTTGGACAGACCTGTGAGCAGGCCATTGCAGTAGTCTAACCTACTGGAGACAAATGCATGGATAAGAATCTCCAGGTCTGCTTTAGACACTATGTTTTTGATCCTGGCAATGTTTTTTAGATGGTAAAAAGCTGCTGATGTTACTGATTTGATGTGGCTATTAAAATTTAAGTCTGAGTCCAGTATTACCCCTAGATTTCTGACCTTGTTTGAAGGTTTTAGGGAGAGAGACTGTAGGTGACGGATGACGCTCTCTCTTTGTTTCTGGGGACCAAAGACAATCATTTCAGTTTTGTCTGCGTTTAGCTGAAGGAAGTTGTTTTGCATCCACTCACTGATCTGTTGGATACAGTGAAGGAGTGAGTCCACTGGTCCATGTTCTCCTGCAGTCAGTGAGACATAGATCTGAGTGTCGTCTGCATAGTTATGATAGGAAACTTCGTTTCTGCGTATTAACTGACCTAACGGCAGCATGTAGAGATTGAACAGAAGAGGTCCCAGGATCGACCCCTGTGGTACTCCACAGGTCCAGGGCCATATGATCTGAGATAGTTTCCAATCTCCACAAAGTACTTCCTGTCCTCAAGGTAAGACCTAAACCAACTTAGGGCGGTGCCAGCGACTCCAACCCAGTCCTCTAATCTCTGTATGAGAATCTCATGGTCGACAGTGTCAAAGGCAGCACTCAGATCTAACAAGATTAAGATTGAGACTTTGCCTGCGTCAGTGTTCAGCCGGATATCGTTTGTAACCTTAACGATAGCAGTCTCAGTGCTGTGGTGGGGTCTAAAGCCGGTCTGAAACATATCAAATGAGTTGTTGATTATAAGAAATCTAGTAAGCTGTAGGTAGACAACTTTCTCAAGGACTTTCCCCATAAATGGCAGATTTGAGATGGGACGATAGTTGTTAAGTACCGTAGCATCGAGACTGCTCTTTTTTAGCAGGGGCCTGATGACTGCAGTTTTCAGGGCCTTTGGGAATATTCCAGAATGAAGGGACATGTTTACTATCTGTGTGAGTGAAGGTAACAGACTGCTCAGAACAGACTTCAGAAATCTAGTGGGTAGTACATCCAAGCTGCATGTGGAGGAGCTCAAACTGGAGATTATCTCTTGGACAGTTTTATCATTTACAGGTGCAAAGTGAGTTAGCTCAGAGAGCCTTTCTGGCTGTTGGATGGTTATCTGTGGATTGGAGACAATGGTGTTTTTGATGCCTTGAACCTTGTCATTGAAAAAATTGGCAAACTCATTGCATTTACGTTTGGAAGTAAGCTCTAATGGCATTTGAACAGGGGGGTTTGTTAAAGGAATAGTTCACCGTTTTTACATACTGACATATGTTCTTACCATACCTTAGACCAGTGGTTCCCAAAGTGGGGGTCCCGACCCCCCGGGGGGTCGCAAGATGATTTCCAAACAACAAAAAAAATGAAAAAAAATAAATAAAATTGAGCAAATTAATAGCCCTTAAATATTTATTTTGCATTTGATTTGATTCAAAAGGGTTACTTGTTAAATTGTGTTAGGAGAAAATAATATATTTTAATTACGTTAATTACGTTGTCCCAGTCATTGACAGCGTCAATCAAAATTAAGTTACGCAGCTCACATCATGCAGCGACAAAGCGTGTCCTGCTGCTGTTTGCTAAAACTAAAGGTGTTTGGAGGCTACAAACACATAATACCTGCTTTAAAATGAAACGTGGTTAATATCCACAACAGAAAAACCTGGAGGGGGAGAACAGTCAAGGGTCAGGCTGATGGTGCGAAGAGAGGGAGAGAGGGCAGCGGAGGGAGAGAGGGCAGCGGAGGGAGAGAGAAGGCAGGGGTAGAACAGCGCGGTAAAGAGGCCCGGCTTTTCGGAGTCAGTGGTAAAGAGGTCCGCACATTAAAAGCGGGTGGCCGGTTTATGCTGTTACTTACAGTAACTTTGGAAAAAGAAGCCGCGGGGGAGGAACCGCATGAAGTAACAGCAGAAAGCGGCTGCCCGCTTTTTATGTGCGGACCTCTTTACCGCTGGGTTAGGGTTAGGGCCACTTTACCGCGGTATGAGAACAGAGAGGGCGAGCCGCAAGAAATGCGCTCCACTTCTGCTGAGTAGGGAGCCCACCAAGCCCATCACTGTGTCACTACGTGAGTAAAAATACGCAAGCCTCCTTTTTTGGGCTGGACAGTGCAGCTCAGTAGTGGCGCGAGTCTCTGCGTTACTCCGTATCAAGGAAATACATGCTCATTGACGGGAAGGACTGTTCAGGTGGGGGGTCGCGGGGGAGCAGCGCATTTATGATGGGGGTCGCGGGCTAAAAACTTTGGGAACCCCTGCCTTAGACTAGTTAATATGTACCTGTCTGGTCTTAGTCCGTGCGCTCTGTCATGCAAACGGAGCAAAAACGGGAGCACAAACGCAGCCTCCTCTGTATACTGTGTAGGACCAAAAGGTAGCTCCCGCTAGAAGCTACCAAACTCTTCCAAGTGTTCCCTATTAAATGTATATAGTTACGTGACGTGTTACACTGCAAAGTATAGTAACACAGAAATGTAACAGTCGATTTTCTCAGCGGATAAAACGGGTACTATATTGTGAGGCGTAGTAATCTGAGGAGCGCTACGTCCGCGCCCTAACTTCTCTCCGGAGACTTCTCTCTCGCTCACTTCCGTCAATAGAAGCAGCGTGACTTGTAGTACGGAGAGAAGTTAGTGCGCGGACGTAGCGCTCCTCAGATTACTACGCCTCACAATATAGTACCCGTTTTATCCGCTGAGAAAATCGACTGTTACACTGCAAAGTATAGTAACACAGAAATGTAACACGTCACGTAACTATATACATTTAATAGGGAACACTTGGAAGAGTTTGGTAGCTTCTAGCGGGAGCTACTGTTATAGAATTATATACCCCATGAAGGAGAAAACTCAAAGGTCCTTTGTCTGATCAAAAGCGTAAGTTTATTGTTAACGCACAGTGCGGAGAGTCAGCATATGCACACAAAAGCAGCATGCTCAGCTCTGGGGGCCAGAGCCCCCAGCTTCCTGTATACAAGACACACACCAAAGATAGTCACGCCCACAACGGAGCGGAGGGGGCCACCGGTGAGGAGGCGCACAGGAAGCGCCGGCGCCATCCCCTGTGGTGGCAGTGGCATGGGGTGTGAACAGACAGACAATGGTGGAAATGCAGGTCATACAGATGCAAGACGGAAAGACACAAGGGTGTGACAGACAGCAGGGACCTTCACAAAGCTCAGCATGGCGTAAGAAGGTCGTCTGCATTGATAAAAGGCCTTTGACGTCCGTGTATTTGCTGCGGCTGGTTTTATGTAATTACTCCAAAAACTGTCACCACACTCCCCTCTTTTGATAATTCAAAACCATTTTTGCATTAATCAGTTAAATACCAGAGGCATCGTAATCACACCACCT